AGCGTTACAGAAAAGAAAAAGCTAAAAGAGTTCATCACCACCAAACCAGTATTATATGAAATGCTGAAAGGTATCCTTTAAGAAGAGGAAGAAGAAGAAGAAAAAGGTAAAGATACAAAATATGAACAACAAATACACATCTATCAACAAGTGAATATAAAAATCAAGTGGATAAATAATCTGATGAACAGAATAAACTGGTGAATATAATAGAATCAGGGGCATAGAAAGGGAGTGGATTGACTAGTCTCGGGGGAGAAAGGGGTGTGGGGTTTGCGGGAAGAGACTGGACAAAAATCGTACATTTGTGGATGAGGACAGTGGAGGGGGTGTAATGGTGGGGCATGGTGTGAATCAGGTGTTGGGGAGCTATTGGGGGGAAAAAAGAGGAACAACTGTAATAATCTGAAACATAAAGTTTTAATTTAAAAATAAAGAAAAAAAAGAGAAACACCTCTTAGTAAACTAATAGTTAAATTATAATCTACACTAATAAAAAACAAACATGCAAATTGACCATACCTTTGCTACACCTTAAGCCACTCCCACCAGCCAATCAGAGCAACTATATGGAAATTAACCCAACTAAGATTGTGGCTGGCAGCCACAGAACTGGAGCAAGCAGGAGGTGTGGTTGCCCCAATAATGGAAGCAGCGAGGCTTCCCGCTTGCCGCGGCCTGGCTCTGAGCTCCACTCAAAGCAACAAGGTTTCAATTATAGAAAGTAAATAAACCCCAGATGCCTGCTTTCAGCCAGCCATGGCCACAGAGCTGGAGTGAGCAGGAGGCTTCCCTCCCACCCATCCGGGCCGGCTCGGAGCTCCTCTCAAGGCTACAAAGTTTCAATTATAGAAGGTAAATAAATCCCAGAAGAAAAAAAAAAGAAAGAAAAAAAGGATAGCTGGGAGCTTCCATTGCCGGGGGCCTTGGCCAGCCTGAAAATGGCCCTCAGCCCCTCACCCAGGCTAGCCAGACACCCGAGTGGGGACCCCCCACCCTGAAGGGGCTGTAACCAGCTGCAAACAGCCATCAACCCCTCACCCAGGCTGGCGAGGCACCCCATCGGGACCCCTACCCTGTTCCAGGACATCCTTCAGGGCAAACCAGAAAGGGATGTCTGAGTGCCAGCTTGGGTCCGATCCCCCAAGGAGCGAGCCGAAGCCAGCAGGTGGACATCCTCTGAGAGGACCGAGACTGCAAGAGGGCATAGGCCATGCTGAGGGACCCCCTGAGAGCACAAATTTTGTCTACCGGGCCTCCAGTATAGATATAAAATTTAATAGTTATAGAAAATTATAAAGTTCTATTTTTGAAGAATATTGTTATGTTTTTTTTTTTTAGTTAAAAAAGGCAAGTGAAGCCCTAACTAGTTTGGCTCAGTGCTTAGCGTGCAGGCCTGCGGACTGAAGGGTCCCAGGTTCTATGCCAGTCAAGGGCGTGTACCTTGGTTGTGGGCACATCCCCTGTACGGGGTGTGCAGGAAGCAGCTGATTGATGTTTCTCTCTCATCGATATTTCTAACTCTCTATCTCTCTCCCTTCCTCTATGTAAAAATTCAATAAAGTATATTTTAAAAAAATAAAAAAGTCAAGTGGCACCCTTGCTGGTGTTTCTCAGTGGTTAAAATGTCAGCCCACACACTGAAGGGTCTCCAGTTTGATTCCAGTCAAGAAATTGCATGCAGGATGCAACCAATCAATGTGTCTCTCTCACATTGATGTTTCTCTCTATATGTCTCTCCTTCTCCCTTCTACTCTCTCTAAAAATCAATGGAAAAATATCCTGTAGTGAAGATTATCCCTCTCTCCCTCTCTCATTCCTTTTCCCTGCCCTTTCTCCCTTCCACTTTCTCCAAAAATCAATGGAGAAAAATATCCTTGGGTGAGGATTAACAAAAAAACAGGGCCAAGGCCACATCTGTATATAGTGTTTGACTCCTCATTTTGTAATTACATATTATCTATATCTAAGTGTAGTTATATACTATATGTGCCAAAATGTTAATAGTGACAATTATGATCTAGTGATGAGAATATTGGTGAATTTTTATATTTAACTTGTTTGTGTGTGTGTGTGTGTGTGTGTGTCAGATGTATGCCTAATATATATATTCAATTTCTAATAAAGTGAATTCATTTTATGGAAAAATAAATATTATTAAAATGAAACAGTGTTCTTTGTTCTGAGCTGAAAATTCAAAGAACTTAAAGTAGGAAATAACTATGCAAAAGATCTGTGCAAAAATATTTTTTAAGACTTCTAAATTTTAAGATTTCAAGGAGGCTGCAGTCCAGTTTCCTGCCATTGATTCATAAATTTATTAATGTCTGCACTTAGTTGCAGTTCCTTCTTTATACTTTCATTGCAAGTTTAACTCTGTTATTAACATCTGAGATCTAATTCCTTACTGGAATAGTCTAATGCTTTATATACTGTTCTTTTTACATTTGGTCATTAAAAGAAAAGAAAAGCACCTAGAACTTCTTATAGCATCAGTGTCAGTTATCAATTTAAAACCTATCTATTATCAGTTTTCAATTTAAAACTTATCTATTATCTCCCCCCCCCCTCCCCAAGATTAGCCATGCGTTTAAGGTGTTTTATATTTGGAAGGTTTTTGGATAGTTTGCTACATTAATTGAAATTGAGGCTGAAAATGTGATTTCCAGCTTAGAATTTATTGCAACAAAAATTCCAGCATTTTAAGTAGATTTAGATATCCCAAGCTTTACAGAGTAAAATATAATTGATTTAAATTTCAATAGATGATTGATATGTTGGACTTTGTAGAAAATTTGTCTTTGAACTCTATGGAGAAAAAGCTTGCCTAAACAAAATTAATATAAAATGAATAATGTAAAGAATATCTTTTATTTGTGGATACAATTTTAGATTTTTTTGCATACTGTTTAATAAAAATGGTTGTACTAACTATTGAAGAAGATTGAAAAGCATTTTTTATATTAGTTCCTTGGAGCTATTAATGCTTTAAAATGATCTAAGATAACTCTTCTAGCTATATATCTCTAAAAATGTTACATTTTGGATTTTCCCACCCATACCATTAGAAGAGGATATACCTTCTTTCAGTCACATTTTTAGTAAATCCTAATTGTCATGGGATTTTGTAAAATGTTTAAAATTCTGTTTTTTTAAACTAAAATTAAATATCCTTTATTAGCCCTAATTTTCAGCAAAAATTATTGTACTCCTGTCTACCAATCCTGCCCTCCATTCTGAGGTTTTGATTTATAATATGACAACTTCATCTACTTTTTTAACCTACAAGAATTAATTCAATTAAATCCCATTTTATTTGGGTTTATTCCTACTTACAGAATCAAGTTAAGAATTAAAAGTAAGATGGGAGGAATCCTTCCTTGCTAGACTCAGTTAAAAATATTTTCATAAAGAAGTATAAAGTTTTACTTTTATAGAAGTTTTTGTTTTCCTGTGTACATTGATGCATTTTGAAACAAAAGGGTATACATGAAGGAAAAAGGAAAGTCAGGTTGACAGGAAAATCCCTGATAGAGTAAAACAGGAGAGAAAAAGCATGGCAATGGCAGCCTCATTAAAGATCTATTACTTGCTGTAGGGACTCTTGTTTTGAAAGCTTATCATCTGAGAATTTCTTTTAATTCTAAAGTAACTCCCATTTCATGAATGTTTCTCATAGTAACTAACATGTCATTTATAACTGAGGTTTGCTTTTTGTATTCTTTTTGCAAGGTAAAGACCAACTAGTTTTCTTTTTTGAGATACCTGTGAAGAAAATTTTAATCAGTTAATGTATTTTTTCTTTTTACTTAATGCACCTTTCTCCTTTGCTCCAAAATGTAGTAACAATTTAAATAGTCTTTATTATGTAAAATAAAGAAATATAAAATAGGATGCATTTTAAGCTTATTTAAAACTGACAACAGTACTATGTAAGAAATATGTCTTTTCATCTAGGAATGTAATATTAACAATGGATCTATGAAATTGGGAAGAAACAATACCAGTGAAAAGACAGATGAACTAACCAAAGGTAAACTTTAATTTTTATATGATCTCAGATTTTATTGAGATTTTTAAATTCTTATTTTTAAATCTTTATTGTTGAAAGTATTACATATGTCCCCTTTTTCCCCCCATTGACCTCTTCTAGCCTGCCCCACCACCATCCCAGGCCTTCACCACCCTATTGTGAGATTTTTCTAATTTAATTATGTAATTCTAGTGCTGGGGCTCTGTACTGTACAAAAACTTCAAATCTCTTTTTCTGAATGACAGTTGTCAGGAAAAATTCCATCAAGGAGGTGATGACAGAATTGGGTGGTAGTACACCAGGCAGAGAAGCTGAGGAAGAACATTTTTGGTTGAGAAACATATCCTGTGAAAGGTAGTTAAACAGCAAAATAAAAACACAATAATAGAGCATATTTTGTTCTGGGACTTCAGATTAGTTTATAGTATTTATAGTGTAAGTAGGGGGTCTAGTGCACAAATTCCTGTACCTTAAAAAGAAGTGTGGGCTGTGAGGCTGCAGTCAGTGCAGGGGTGGGTCTCAGCTCATCCTCCATGTCCCCACTCACACCCTCCCGCTGCAGCCCCCAGTCCCCTGTCTGCCCACAGCTCTGCTCCCATTCCCACACACTGATGGCACTGGCTCCACTCACATCTGCTGATGGTGCAGAGCGATTGGGGCTGGTGCCAGGAACAGGTGCAAGTGGGGCTGGCGCCCTCAATGGGTGTGTGCGGCAGCTGCTGCCCTGCTCGCCCCTCAGGAGCAGGGGAAGGTGGAGAAGCCCTCAGGGACAATTGGGTCAGCAGCTGCTGCTTGCAGCCACTGATGGCACCAAGCAATTGGGACCAGGGCTGGGCACTGGCAGTGGGTGTGAGCAATGGCTCTGGTGCTGGCTGTGGGTGTGAGTGGGATTGGCACTGGCAGTGGGTGGAGCAGTGTCTCTGGCGCCAGCAGTGGTTGCAAGAGGCAACTGCTGGCCTCGATCGCCCCTCAGGAGTAGGGGGAGGTGGAGAAGCCATGAGGGGCGATTGGGGCCGGCAGCTGCCGCTCACACCTGCTGATGGTGCCAAGTGATCAGGGCTGGTGCCAGGCGCTGGCAGCAGGTGTGAGTTCCTGGTGGGACCGCAGCGTGTGGGACAAAGAATTTTCGGTAACCACCAGAGGCTTGCCCAATGACAGTGACCAGTGCTCCGCCTTGGTCTGATGCCCCTGCTCCACCATCCCACCATGTTCTGTGCTCTGCTGCCTGCTACTGACGCCCACCATGTTCTGTGTGCACCCCATGGTGGTCAGCACACATCATAGCGACTGGTTGTTCGGTTCTGCCATTCGGTCTATTTGCATATTAGGGTTTTATATATGTAGATGTACATGGACAGCAGCACCTATGGAAAGTGAGGTTAGAAACAAATTCTGAAGTCAGGAGAAGTAATGAGATCTCTGGACTTAGCGATTATATGATTGTACTTAGTAATCACTTCACAAATTAATTTCTGAAGATTATTAGAGCAGAACAGGCTGAAAATATTTTTAAAATAGTAGGTGAAGAATTGGAAGTATAACTGTGCTATTTGCAGTTCGTTATATTTGAGATAGGAGAGGGAAATAGATAGTTGGGAAGGGATGCAGAATTGAGGGTGTTTTGTTTTTTTTTCAAACATTTTTAAAAAAATATTGATTTCAGAGAGGAAGGGAGAGGGAGAAAAAAACAGAAACATCAATGATGAGAGAGAGTCATTGATTGACCGCCTCCTACATGCCTCCCACTGGGCATGTGCCCTTGACCAGAATTGAACCCAGGACTCTTCAGTCCGCAGGCCAACACTCTATCCACAGAGCCAAAATGGTTAGGGCAAGGGCTTTTTTGGTTGCCTATTTTTTAGTTTAAGAAAGAAACCCGTGGATAGGAAGATTTTGAATATAATGGAGAGACTATTTTATAGGCCTGTGGGAAGAAATGAGATAAAGAGAACAGGTAGATGAGTTAGCATTAGAAGGAAAGAAAATAAAGTTCAGGGAAAATATAGATAATTGAGGGAGTAAAAAGATAGAAAAATTAGGAGTTTATGGAAGACTAGAGGCCTGATGCATGAAAGTTGTGCAAGGGGCTCAGCCCTTTCAGCCCCAGCTTTGTCTGGAAGGTGGTCCAGATGGTCACCTTGTTCTGCTGTTTGGTCTAATTAGCATATTACCTCTTTATTATAAAGGACTAGAGGTCCAGTACACAAAAATTTGTGCACTGAGGGTAGGGAGGGCCCATCAGCTCGGTCTGCTCCCTCTCACAGTCCAGGGAGCCCTCAGGGGATGTCCTACTGACAGCTTAGCCACAGTCTGGTCTCCCTCTGCGGGAGGCAACTGGCCAATCATGGGGAGGCACCTCCCCCATCACCTCCTCAGGCCTCCCTGTATGGGAGGTGACCAGGCCAATCAGGGGAAGGTGACGCCCCATCACACCGCTGCTGCCGCCATTGCCATCTGACGTGGCTGCCTGAGCCTTGGCCCAGTCCTCCCAGCAGCAGCTGCCATCTGTGGCTTGTCTGAGCCTCAGCCCAGCCCTCGCAGCAGCAGCCACTGTGGCTTTGTCTGGAAGGATGTCCGGTTTAATTAGCATATTACCCTTTTGTTAGCATAGATAGTTATCTACTTACTGTTCATTTTTTTCTAGCAGCTTTCAGCTGCCTTGGTACATCAGGAAATTTAGCCAATGTGGGGATTGGCTGGATGACTACAGGGGAAAGACTGGGTACAAAACAAATTGAAGGTACTTTTTAATGAGAAAACACTAGAATAGGAAACGAGTAGCTGGCTGATTGAAAGGGCAGGAATGGAGATATTAAGAAGCTGTAATTCAATTAAAAAGTATTTTTAAAAAGTTGTATTATTGAGTTGGAAAACCAGGATTCTAAGAAGGATTATTGCTAGCCTAAGAATTTACTAATATTTTATATATTTGTCCTTTTCTTTAAAATGGAAGGATCTAGGTGCAGCGGAGAACCCAGTATTTCAAATGTCAAGGGAAAGCGTAAATATACCAAGTCAGAATTGTCTAGTTCCTGCTCCAAAAGGTAAACTCTTATTGAGGTTTGATAATATATAATTTGTTTATTTAAATTTCTTTCTCCATTTTTTTACATATAGGAGAAAGGGCCATTATATCTGAGTTATATAGTTTTTTAAATACATTTTTTATTTGAAATTGATAAAAAGCACTGTGACTTAGGCAGGTAGAAAAGTAATAATCCATAAAATAAGTGAATTGATAATTTTTTTTTAACTTTTCTAAAGGTGACTGGCAGCAATGGCCAAGTTAGTCATTCTGTTAATTTACCTCTATAGGCTTGTTTAGCACATCAGTAAATTATTAATTTTTAATCCCTTGTATTTCTACTATTTTTTTTTCTATTTCTTTCACATAGGAACTAAGATCTATCTTCTGGATTTTTTGTTTTTGTTGAAACTTTAGAAGAGCTTTATGAATTTGAGGAGATGAAACTGACATTTTATTAGATAGCTAGACAAAAGCACTTTTTGCTCATCTCAGTTCTTTCTTTACCGTTAGTGGAAATAAGACACAATAAAGTCATTTATGGAGAGTATTATATTAATGTAGACGAGAGGGGATATTTGAATAAAACACACAATGCCCCTCTGATCTCAACTTGAATCTGTTAATGTTATAAATTTCATTTACCCTCTGAAGTAGATCTAAGTATTTGGCTTTTGTTGTATTTTCCACCATCAATATCGGTTGGGTAACCTCAAATCTGAGTTTCTGTTACCTATTTCACCAATAAAGACCTCAAACTGGGGATCTGTTAATTGTCTCCTATCACTAAAACCTGTCTGCACTGAGCACAGAACCAGGACTCATCAGTTTCTTCTCAAATATCAAATCTTAGAACTCGGAACTGACCAGGAAACTAGTTAACAGCTCTATTAGGTGGACCAGATCACCTTAAAGGACATAGAAATAATAATAATGAGGACATGGGAAAAACTAAAAACAACCAACACATATATTAATTATATCCAGCACACCTGTACTTACTGTGTAACCAACTATTTTAGGGGCTTTGTTTGTTCTATCATTTTATCCAATGAAGTGGATTGTTTCTTTATTTCTGTTTTCCAAATGGGGAAACTGAGGTATAGAGGACCATTAGATAGCTTACCTAAAGTCACATAACAAATAAGTGGCAGAATGGGGATTTGAATCTGTGCAGTCTGACTGTAGAACCTGTTGCACTTAGGCATTTAACCACTATAATATACTTTTTCTACACAAAATTTACAAAAATTTTTCATTGTGGAAGATTCATATTATTGCCTCTTAGATGCTTATTTCGTTATATTGGAAGTGTTTTATTTGATAAGATTCATTTCTTTTTTGTTCTAGTTTTATGTGTTTGAATTGAACTCAGTATTGAAATGATTACTATTTTAGAATGGTTTACTTTTTCAAATTTATTTTAATAATAGTGATAACTGCATTTTGCATAGTAAATGCATCTGGTTATGAAAACAGAATACTTTGACTTTGGATGATGGGCACACAATGCAACATACAGATCATGTATCATGGAAATGTACACTTGAAACCTATATGACCCTATTAACCAGCTTTACTGCAATAAATTTAATTTTTTAAAAAGAAAACAAAATGCTTGTAGCAAATTTGACTTTCATTTGTCAAATAAAGGTTCACTTTAATATTTTTCAAAATATAAGTGGGGAAGGACAAGAAGCATTTATATTACATTTATTAAACATGTTTTTATTTATAATCGTTTTGGGTCGATAAAAATATTGCATGTATTTAATTTTAGAAGAAAAACTGCTGTCCAGTATACTGAAAGCAGCGATTCAGAGGAAATTGAAACTAGTGAATTGCCACAGAAAGTGAAAGGTAATATGAAATGGATTTGATTTGATGCTCTCTCCTATATTCTAATTTCTTTGTGTGAGCATTTTTATATTTGGCTGTTTATAGGCAAACTGAGAACTGCACAATCAGAAAGTAAAAGCAGAGTTAAAGGTATGTATATACATATCACTATTTGTAATCTACACTTAAAAATTATTAAGAAAAAACCATTGATTTGCATCTCTCAAGCTTAGAATTCTTTAGTAATAGGTCTTAAACTTGACTGCAGTTTACATATGAACTATTCTTGGAGCTTACCAGGGATATTAATTGAATGAGGCAAAATGAAAGAATAATTTCAAAATAAAATGTAAGAGAAATTATTTAAACCAACTTTAAACAAGACAAAATGATTTTTTACTACTTATAAAATTACTTCGATAAAACCTTACTCATATCTGTCTAAATTGTAATTTCAAAAGTATGGTGGGAGTATGTTCTTGGAAATATTATAGTTTATATTATCATACAAATGTATGAATAAACAATGATTATTTTTACTTTATCTTTAAAACATATTGTTTATTTTTTTCTGCTAAATCAGATATTGTTTCCTAATTAGTTGAGAAATTGGATTTGGAAAATAACTTATCACCATTGACTGACCATAAATTTGGCATCCTTTTTATTAGCAGTCAGATATCTGTTTCCTTGAAAAAATTTTCCTTCCACCTGGGAGCTGAATCACTGCATATGGCTGTTTCTACTTTTACATCTCTTCCTCGGGAAGATGAGCTTAGTGTCAGAAGAGGCAATTTTGGTTACCAGACATTATTTTATTTTTTTTAAATAATATAAGCTCTTAAGGTAGTGTGGAAATGGTATTCTTTTTGAAAAAAATATATTTTATTGATTTTTTTACAGAGAGGAAGGGAGAGGGATAGAGAGTTAGAAACATCCATGAGAGAGAAACATCGATCAGCGGCCTCCTGCACACCTCTCACTGGGGATATGCCCGCAACCAAGGTACATGCCCTTGACTAGAAAATTGAACCTGCGATGTTTCAGTCCGCAGACCTACACTCTATCCACTGAGCCAAACCGGTCAGGGCTGGAAATGGTATTCTATTTTCTATTCTCAGAAAGTACCTGTGCCTAAGCACAGGAGAAAATGTTTTCAAATATCTTAATGATTCTGTGGTTTTTAACTTCAGCAGAATTTTCTAAGGTTAAAAAAGATACAGAGTTTACATGTGCACTTACTTCATCTACTCCTGCAACAAAAAGAAAATGTTGAAAAAGGGTCAGTAAACCTGCTGGGCTTTGAGCTTTTGTTTTGTTCGCTTTTTTTTTCAGTGAAAAATATTTTAAATGACAAAAGTTACAAAACCATACTATAAGAAGTTTAGAAAGTAGAGAAAGGAAAAAATACATAATCCCATTAAAAAAAGAAAAAGATATGTTTTGATGTGTTTTCTGTCCAGTACCTTTTTGTATTTTATTTAGGTCAGAAATTGATGGGAGGAAGTCCCTTACTCATCTGAGTACCAATGATATTTCTTCTAGTGAAGGCACAGATCAATTTATGGCTGCTTTAAAAACTTAATTTAATTTAAATAATAATAAAGGTTTATTACTTGGTATAAGTAGAATCTGCTTTTCACTTTAGAATGTTAGTGATCTTTATTATTTATTGTAATTTTGTATTTTGTAATTGATAGGAAATCAACCCTGCTTACAAATCTCAATATTGGAGATGGAAAGAGATTGAACTAGGATTAAGGAGATTTGGGACAATTTATATCTCTGTATCTTAGTTTCCTCTATTTTACATGTTGCAGATATAACAGAAAAAAAGTGTATTTTCATGAAACTTTTGCCTAATTATGGAGAAAACATAAAATTAATAAATATCATTATAGACAATAAATGCTGTGAAAAAATAAAGGAAGATAATGAAATAAAGATTGACCATAGGAGTCTGTGTAAGGTGATATTTGAGCTAACACAGAATGATGAAAAAGAACTAACTTTTGGCCTAAGAATCAAACTATTAGGAATAGAAAATGTAGGCATTTCAGTTAGATTATTTTTAAACCCAATTTTAGGAATTTTAAGAAATGTTAAATTTAGTTGAGATATGATTTACATAGAATTGAGATAGAATTAAGTTCACACAAAAAGTTCCTTTTTGTTGCAGACACATAGCAGTAATACAGGAGAGAAACTTAAAAAAAAATCATAGATGAGATAAAACCCAAATAAAGATATTTCTGGAAGAGAAACAGAATAAAAACAAAAATCAGTGAGTGGAGATAGAAGCCATATATTCCGGTAAATAGTGATTTTAAAAAAACAAGACACACAAAGGCATAGAAAAAGATTAAATTCAACATTTAAAATTTCCATGCATCAATAGGTACCATAAACATTGAATAATGTTAAGGCTGAAGAAGATATTTGTGATAAGTGTAACTTAGAAAGCATTAATCTACACTAATAAAAGAGAAAAATGGTAATTGGCGTACGACGCTACCCTTTTCATTGGCTAATCAGGGCTATATGCAAATTAACTGCCAACTAAGATTGGCAGTTAACTGCCAACAAGATGGCGGTTAATTTGCATATGTAGGCACAATGCAGGGAGGCGAAAGGGAAAGCAGG